GGTCTCTCTCATCATATCCCTCTCCTCTCTCTCTTTCACTCTAACCGTCTCTCTCATTTCTCTCTCTCTCTTTCACTGCTAGAAACAAGACGGCTCTCTCTTCTCTCTCTCTCTTTCACTCTAGTCTCCTCTCTCTCTCCATCTTTCTCTCTCTCCTCTCTTCTCTCTTCTTCACTCTACGGCTTTCTCTTCTCTCCTCTCTGTCACTCTCTTCTCTCTCTTCCTCGTCAATTCTCTCTCTCTCTCTCTCTCATACTGTCCCTCCCTCTCCCCTCCCTGCTCCCTTCTCCCTCTCCCCTTTATTCCCTCTTCCCATACCTCCACGTCGGCAGTGAGCGTATCCATTAACTGCGCCTTGGCTTCCTCTCCAATGTGGATCTTCGTCCCATCCTTCATGAAGTCATTGTCCTTTAGGGTCGGCAAGTTCTTCTCCAGCTCTTTGGGCGAGGCTTCACGGTCGACCGTCGATCCTTTGAGGTCGTATTTCCTGCCGAGATTAAGGGAGGGGAGTGGGGGTTCAATGAGTTTTCTTGCCAAAATATTTGGAAAAAATGAGGCAATAATATCAATGATGATAAAGATAGGAATAACAATGTCAATGTCTGTTTCTTCCTCTCTCTGTCTCTCTTGTTCTCTTACTCGTAATCTCTCTCTCCCTCCTATTCTCTCTTTCATACTCTCTCTCTCTCTCTCATTCATTTTTTCTCTCTCTCTTTCTCTTTCTCTCTCTCTCTCCCTCCCTCTTTCTCTTTCTCTCTCCCTCCCTCCCTCTCAATCCATACTTGTGTATCTGCAAGAACGTAGAGAAGATGTTTCTCATGACGACGCAGTACGTCTCTACGCTTTCGACGGTGAGCCGGTACATCGCCAAGTACTGGGGTAGAAGCGTCTTTCCGTGCCGGTTGACTACATACTGGAACAAGGAGGTAATTGCATAATATGATGACAATGACAATAATAATAATGATGGAAAAAATAATGATAACGACATTAACTAAAGTGATAATGAAGGTAATAGGTAGAAATAAGAATAACAGTAATAACAATAATAATAATATCTACTACAACAACAATAACAATGAAACTAATAATAATAACTAAAGTAATAATAATAACAATAATAATAAAATGTACTACAATATATATTCTTTTCTTTTTTCTTTCTCCTCTCTCTCCCTTCCACTCTCCTCCTCCCTCTCTCTCTCTCCCCATCCCACTCTCCCTCCCTCTCCCTCTCTCCCTCCCACTCTCCTCTTCTTCTCCCTCTCCTCCCTCTCTCCCTCACTCCTCACTCCCTCTCCCTCCTCCTTCTCCTCGCCCTTACCGGGTGATATTCCTTGAGCAACGCATGCATTTGTTCCACCTCGTCGCTCGTCAAGGTTTTGAGAATGTACATCTTGTCGCTTGAGCAGTAGAACCGCGCTCCGCTGCGACCGGGCGAGTCGATAGCCACGGGCTGGGATCTGCAGGGAGGGGGAGGGGTGAGGGAGAAGAGAGAGAGAGAAAGAGAAGGTGAGAGAGGTAGAGAGAGAGGGAGAGAGGGAGGAAGGGGAGGGAGAGAGGGGGGGGAGAGAGAAGAGAGAGGGAGAGAGAGAGAGAGAGAGAGAGAGAGAGAGAGAGAGAGAGAGAGAGAGAGAGAGAGAGAGAGAGAGAGAGAGAGAGAGAGAGAGAAAATAAAAAAGGTAGGCAAAGAAAGAGAAAAAATTATTATTAGTTCATCATAATTTTTTTTCTATTACTTTGAAAAATTCATAGAAAAATAAAAAGTTTAAATAATTAATTTTGTCTTATGAACTATCTCTCAATAATCAATATTACCTTAGTCTTGCTTGTCAATAAAGAAATTTATATTATTATCATTATCATTATTATTATTATCATTATTGCTATTAGTATTAAAAACATCAATTCCATGTTATTAGTCATACAATAATTATCATTATCAATATAATTTTGATTATCATTATCAACATGATATTGATTTTTATCATAAACATAATGATGATTATCACTATCAATATAATTATAAATATTATTACAAACTGATCATTATTACCAATATATTTATAATTATTATTAGCAATATAATCATTTGTATCATTTTCTTTACTATTATAATTTTTTTTATTTATTATTATTATCATTTTCATTATAATCATTATCATTATTTTTTAATATAAATTTCAAATAAAAATAAAAATATTCGTAACATTAAGAAATACAATTATCATTAAAAAAAAAATATTACACAAGAAAATCACAAAAAAACAACACAATGTTAATTCACAAGTTATCAAAAAACAAAATAAAATAAAATAAAAAAAAAACACATCAAAACAGCCTTAACAAACAACAAACAACAAATGGGTACACGCGTTAGTCAATTCCAAAGTCGAAAAACAAACGGCAAAAAAAAAAAGCAAATCGTCATTATCGTCAGCTTGTTAGTAAAAAAAAAGATCGTCAACTCCACGCTGGGGGGAAAAAAAAAAAAAAAAAAAAAAAAAAAAAAAAAAAAAATCGTTATCGTCAACTTGTTAGTAAAAGGATTCAACTTGGAACGCATTTTGGCGAATACACCTTCGTCAACCCCGCTTGCTTTCTGACATAATCTAGTTTGCGTTTCCTGGCTTGCTTTCTCTCTCTCTCTCTCTCTCTCTCTCTCCTCTTCTTTCTCTTTTCTTCTCTTTCTCTCTTTATTTCCTTTCTTTCTCTCTTTTCTCCTTTCCTTTTCTCTCTCTCTTTCCCTATTTTCCTTTCTTTCTCTCTTTTCTCCTCTCTCTCTTCCTCTCTATTCTCCTTTCTTTCTCTATTTTCTCCTCTCTCTCTCTTCTCTCTATTCTCCTTTCTTTCTCTCTCTCTTTTCTCCTTTCTTTTTCTCTCTCTTTTCTTTTTTCTCTCCTTTATCCTCTTCTCTCTTTTCTCCTTTTTCTTCTTCTCCTTTCTTTTTCTCTCTCTATTTTCCTTTCTTTCTTTTCAATTTCATTTAATGTTAATTATTCTTCATATTTTCTTTTTCCTTCTTTCGTCTTCCTTTCCTCCGTCAAGCTAGAAATCCGTCTTCTTTTCTTTGCAATAATCTACATCAATCCTGCAAATTTTCCGAAACGCAGAAAGCAAAACGTCTTGCTTTCCGGCCAGTTGGAGTTATCGAATTTTGCTTTCTACTAACCTGGCTCAATCTAGCTTGCTCTCGCCGTTACGAGGCACACTCGCTTTTATCTTACCATTGAGAAATGATCTGTTGGAGGCACACTCGCTTTTATCTTACCATCGAGAAATGATCTGTTGGAGGCACACTCGCTTTTATCTTACCACCGAGAAAATGATCTGTTGGAGGCACACTCGCTTTTATCTTACCATCGAGAAATGATCTGTTGGAGGCACACTCGCTTTTATCTTACCACCGAGAAATGATCTGTTAGAGAGGCACACTGGCTTTTATCTTACCACCGAGAAATGATCTTATGAGAACTCTGTTGGAGGCACACTGGCTTTTTATCTTACCACCGGAGATCTGTTGGAGGCACATCGAGAAATGATCTGTTGGAGGCTTACCACTCACACTGGCTTTTATCTTACTGATCTGTTGAGGCAGGGCTGAGAAATGATCTGTTAGGACACTCGCTTTATCTTACCATCAGAGGCTGTTGGAGGCACACCACCGAGAAATGATCTGTTGGAGGCACACTGGCTTTTATCTTACCACCGAGAAATGATCTGTTGGAGGCACTTTTATCTTACGAGATGATCTGTTTTCTTTACCACCGAGAAATGATTGGGCAGCACACTCGGCTTTTATCTTACCACGAGAAATCGAGGAACTGGCTTGGAGAAATGATCTCACACTGCTTTTATCTTACCAAGAGAAAAATGATCTGTTGGAGGCACACTCGC